CTCCAGTAACAATTTTATGGATTTGAGATTTCACGTGTTGGATGTTTTGTTAATTTTGAAAGGGGTTAAAACCGGGTAAAGCCGCAGGTCCAGATGGTATCCATGGCACTGTGTTAAAAAATTGTGCGAGCACTCTTGCAAAGCCTCTAACCATGATTTTCAACAGCTCTTTTGTGACTGGATGTGTGCCGGAGGAATGGAAGCTTGCTTCTGTTGTCCCGGTACACAAGAAGGGTGAAAAAGGATCTGTTGAAAATTACAGACCCATCTCACTGACATGCTTAGTTATGAAAGTTTTTGAACGTTGTATTTCGAAAGAGTTGCTCGCAGCTTGTGAAGGGTTAATCGACTGTAGACAACACGGTTTTGTGAATGGGAAGTCTTGCACTACCCAGATGGTCCCATTCACAGACAACCTTGCACTGGCCCTGAACAATAAGTCAAGATCCGACATTGTTTATTTTGATTTTGCTAAGGCATTTGACAGTGTCTCACATGACTTAATCCTTCGCAAGCTAAAAAATTTATATGGTATTGATGGTCTGATGCTTAGATTTTTAAAGTCGTATTTACAAGACAGACGACAGCAGGTTGTTGTAGGCGGAGCTGTCTCAAGCATGCTTCCCGTGCAATCAGGAGTGCCCCAGGGATCTATTCTGGGACCACTTCTGTTTGTTCTATTCATCAACGACATGTTCTCGTGTGTTTCGGAGGATACAAATGTAGCATTGTATGCAGATGACACCAAAATTTGGAGGGTCATCGAATGCTTTGAAGACCACTATATTCTTCAAGGAGATATAGACAGGTTGTTTGCCTGGTCAATCGATAACAAAATGACTTTTCACCCTTCAAAGTGTAAGGTGTTATCTGTAACTCTGCAAAGAAATGTATTAGACAATCTTCCTTTTAATATTTATTGGTATAATCTTAATGAAGTCATAATTGATTATGTGGCATCCCATACAGATCTTGGTGTAATAATGAACAACAGGTTTCTGTGGGGTGCACATTGTGATCAATTGATATCTAAAGCAAGCTCGAAGCTTGGGCTCTTAAAGAGAACCTGTCATTTTACCATGGATAAACGCCAAAAGAGGGCTTTCTACCTTACCATTGTAAGATCAATCTTTGAACATTGCTCAGTTATATGGTGTCCTCAGCGATCGACACACATGTCGAAGTTTGAGGCAATCCAGAAAAGAGCGATCAAATGGATCAATGGACAACAGTTTGATCATTATAGTGATATTGTATTTTATGAGAAGCAGAAGGAGCTTAAAATTCTACCCATTAGATCTAAGTTCATCCATAATTCAATTACGCTCTTCTATAAAATAGTAAATGATTTGGTAAGTATATCTCTACCTGAATATATTACTGTTGTTGAAGCTGGAACAATGAGGTACACAAGGAGCACGGCATCAGTCATTGAAGGACTTGACACCAGCACATATACCTGCTCTATTGTACCAAACTGCGATAGTTTCAGAAACAGCTTCTTTTATAGAACAATGCTTCTGTGGAATGCACTGCCAGCCTATGTTAGACAGACTGAGAAAATTTCTATTTTCAAAACAAAGCTAACTGAATTTCTCTGGTCTTCTGACGTATGCTGGCCTGATTAGACGGCCCATCATGGAATATTATTATATATATATTTTACTTTATGAATGTCATACTCTCTATAATTTGCCCCTCGCACCTGCAGTAGAACGCGCCGTTCTTTCTCTTATGAAACAACCCGAAACAAGCGCGTCACGCAGTACGTGAGTGGCTAGATTATAGATTATTTTATTATAATATTATTTAATTATGTTATTTTGTTGTTATGTCGTGTAAGTTTGTGGAGTAGTAGCAAGAAGGTATCGTATACATTTAAATTTGTTCTCTTGATTATTTATTAATGATTTTATGTAGGGTCGGCACCAATGTTATTATGGTCTTACCACCGTGTTTTGGTTCAGCCGAAATAAATTTTACCTTAATGTTTTTACATATTGTTTCTCACTCCAGCTGAGTCTGGTAGTGTTGAGTATCATGAATATTTTTCTAGCTCTCTTTTTCCATGTTTTTGCTTCACAGGAGATATTGTGGTCTTTTTATTGAATATAACTGTAATACATTGATGTAAAGTTTATTTGAATTTTGAAATAAAAAAGATAGTACCATAATATACTATACTATGTAGATGTATTGAGTGAAACCCATACAACAGGGCTCATCAGCCACCAATAACAGATAACCCAGTCATCCAGAATCGATCGAAGGAGACAACAAAGCCCTCGACAAACCCCTGGGATTGACACAGCACAATTAATGATTAAGGAAAACAAAATCCATCTTACTATCGTTCTTTTGAAAAATTTAATGTCATTCAAATAATATGCATAAATAGATTAAGCAATAATTTGTGTCCCGTGAATATGCTTACTCAGTAGCGGTAACTAAAGACCACGTGAGTTTGATCAACCAACAAGACCCGGATATCACCAAGCTGGACATGGGCAAGATAAAAGAAAAGAAAGAAGAACTGAGGAAACAGAAAGAGGAGTTTCTCTCCCAAAGGTTCAAGGTGCTCCACAAAGAATCAGATCATCAACTAAAGAACCACTTAGATCAAGCAAGAGAGAAGGGAGCCTCAACATGGCTTTCGACACTACCACTGAAAGACCTCAACTATGTTCTGAACAGGCAGGAGTTCCAAGACAGCATACGCTTAAGGTATGGTTGGAAGATCCAAGGAGTGCCCTCTAAATATGCTTGTGGAAATTTCAACAGTATTTAACACGCCCTTGACTGTAAACTAGGCGGATACATTAGCATGCGCCACAACGCTATTAGAGATACTGCTGCTTTCTTCCTCCGAGAAGCAAAGTGTAAAGACGTAAGGATAGAACCAGCACTCCTGACAGTCCAACAAAGCTCCTTCTCAAGAAAGACCAACACCCAGGATGAAGCCCGTCTTGATGTTGCAGCTGTCGGATTGTATGCACCCTTTGAAAGAACATTCTTTGACATTAGGGTCACACATCCTAACTGTGACACAAGCACATTTAAGACGCTAGATAAGATCTATAAAGATCACGAGAAAGAAAAGAAAGATTTGTATGAAGAGAGAGTACTTCAGTCAGAGAAAGGATCCTTTGTCCCTCTAGTCTTCACAACCTCTGGAGGTATGGGACCGCTATGCACTGTATTTGTAGATCGTGTCTCTGAGATGATAGCTGACCATAAAAAAGAAGCCAAGAGCCAAGTCAAAAATCATATCAGAACACGATTCAGATTTGATCTGTTAAGAAGTACACTCATTTCACTAAGAGGAATCAGAGGAAGATCAACGGCCCAGCATCTTGAACTGCACGACATCTCCTTCAACCTCATCCCCCAGAAGACGAGCTTTGAGGTCTCCTAGATTTGTTTATGTAAATTTTGATATTTTACTGTAATATTTTATGTTATATATAATTTTACGGACGAAATGATCCCAGGGGGGACTACCAACCCACCGCTTCGGCGGGTAGTTGACGCACCGTTCAGAAGCAAAAGCCACTTTGGTCTACTTGCTGTGAGGTGTCTCAGCTACATGGGTTGTTGTTTTTTTTATTCTTTTTTTTTCTTTTTTTTTTAATTTTTAAAAATAATTTGTGTCCATAACTTCCATTAAATATTAGACACCCTCATGAAAATAATACAATTTTGAATAGCAATTTATAATTTATGGAAGTTTGAAAACTTTACAGTCCCCTTCGATACTTACCTTGAGACCTCAGGCTATCATGTTTATAAACGCCAAATAAAGATTCCCCAACGCGAGCTGACTACTCAGAATGCGCGAGCACGTCAACATAAAATTTTTCGCGCCCTACAAACTTCGGTAGACCTTATAATTTGCAACTGAACGCTTGCGTATGTCGTAGTTCAAGCTGCGCGCGCGGTATGAGTATTTTCATTGCATCATACAACATAAATTATCGGATTATAAGTATAAGCTATTTGTACAGGGATTTTCTCATCGATACTTTAAATGACTAATCTTTAAAAAACAAGGTCGATTCTTATACAATTACAATATATTTTGCATATGCGCGTTAAATCAATTCGTTATCATGTAATAATGTGTGTCATACTTAAAGCTAGGAATATTTGTGTAATATGGATTTTCATTCTAAAACATGGAAAGATTTCATCAATTAATGTAACTTGGTACCATATGGTTTATTTGATCTTATATGTTATCGATTTATATAGTTTTACGTTATCGTGTATCATGTATTGATAGTTATACATTATTATTATACAACGAGTCCAACCCAGCGCGCGTTTTGGTAGTTTATAAACCTACAAATAATTTTATCCCCTGATAAACTCCAAGATATTATACATCAACAGATTATAATCTCATTGTATAGTCACATAACATGATACCATGACCTAAATTTTGACAAATGGCTAAGCTCTTGACAAAAATTATAACCTGTAAAAGTCATAAAAATGATAACTTCACATAATCGGGTGGAAATCATGCTTTTTAAAATTTTTCACGAAAGTTTTTAATATCATATTGTTTATCACATTTTTTTACACAAGATTTGAATCATGTTGTAATTTTGTTTTCCAATATTTTGATCAAAAATAATTTTTATTTGGATTTCAACGTACGCACTACGCCGCGCAGTTAGAAATCGTAATTGTTCTGAACAAGTGAGATTTGAGATTTAATCATTATTTTCACAAGTGAGTCGATATATTGCAATCCCATCTCTTTTCGTTGCTGCTCACAGCATAGAGCTTCAATGCTCAAACCGTATATCTAGTTGATAGTAAAGTAGTATAGAAGTAGTAAAGTAGTATAGAAGCTGTTTCGTTGCACATTGAAATACAGATATTACTAAATGATCTTGAGAGGTTATTTAATGTAATCGATTTAGTGTTACTGCCTTAAAGCTGTGATGTGCTGGAGACTACTAAAACTTGTTCTAGTATAGAAAAGCACAGCGGATTTTGCTATCATGTTACACTTTTGTAGATCAGGATCGAATTTGAACGTATTACTCCTAAACAGATTATTTCAATCCTGCATTATATGGAAATATCGATAACCCATTCGAGCCTTTTTTTAAATGTGTTTATGTTTTTGAAAAAGTATATTATTGTGATACTTCCATGTATTAAATCGTTTAAATGGTATGGTAAAGAACAGTACACAGATACTTATTCTTTGATGCCCCGAAACACATTCCTAGCTCTAGATCTGCCTTACATTTCAATAATGGCTCTTTCATCACATTTGCTTGATAACTGCTGATTTGTAATGCTTAAAATTGATCCCACTCAGTTTGACTATCTTAGGTTAGCTGTAATATCGAACTCGACAGTAGCTTCCTCTGTCATGTCGGAGATCTCAGGAGACGACTTGGTATTTTGTGTCAAGAAGAGGTTAACCTCCCACTTAACAAGATAAACATCAAATTCATAGGTTTGTCTCTATTTTGATGGTTACTGATACAGCAGTTCATGTGTTTAAAATGTATGGGTTAAATTCTAATTAAATTCGGTAATAAATATTACTGCAAATGTTGTAAACGGTAAAACCATTGTGTATAAGACAGTCAATTATCTCAGGAGTGCCAAAAAGGTACCGTTTAATCGAGAGGACTTCACTGATGACAGAGATGTGGAAAAGACTACGTCCTTCTCTGGAAAACTACAAGGATAAAATACCCACCTTCTTCGGGAAAAAGTCCATCATATGCGAAAGGTAAATCGTTTATTTTTGAAAACCCGATCACGATCAAAGCATATACAATTTGGGCATGTCCCAGCCAACTTAAGCCGAAAATCTGGCTTTGAAATCTTTAATTTGAAAACACCCAAAAATGTAGTTAATATACCCCTCCACCATACCAGATCGATTTTAAGTCAGCCAAGGCATAATTACTGCCCAAAAAGCCTGTTCCAAATTTGTCTCAATTCTGTTCCAGAATCCCAACTTCTCTGAAACCAAAATGGAACATTGCCCACAAAGCCTTTTCTGAGGATGCTAGGGCCACCAAAATTTTCAAGGACACTCCTGGTATCGATACCAATCGATTCTGATCGCCTTCAACTCAGTTTAGGCGATTTTAGGGTAAAGTTCATTTTTGTTCATTTCATGAACCAGGGGATCATTTTGCACTAAAAAGGTTTTTTTAAAGTTGAACAAAAAATGTCACAATTTGATGTGTGAAAATAGTGCTTTCGATGTGAAACTGGATGATTCTTGACGCACCCTATCCCTTCGGTGGAGTATTAAATTTCAAAGAAAAAAACTTCTGAGTTGCTGAACATGTTAGTAAACAATATGCCCCTCTACCATACCATATCGATTCCATGCCAGTCCAGGCATAATTACCGCTAAAAAGCATGTTTCTAAATTTGTGTCAATTGTTTCCACCATCTCAACTACTCTGAAACCAAAATAGAAACATTGCCCCAGAGCCCTTTTTGAACATGCTAGGCACACCAAACTTCTCAGGGACACTCCTGGTATCAATACCGACCGATTCCAATCGGTTTTAGCCCAATTCAGGGGATTCTAGGAAAATGTTCATTTTGTGTTCATTTCATTCATTCCATGAACCAGGGGAGTATTTTGCAAGTCTAAGTGGCTGGAAATGTTAGTACATGTGTCCTTCTACCATACCAGATAGATTCCAAGTGGACACGTTCAAAAAAAGGTGGCACTAGAGATTGATTTTTTTTAAATGAGTTTTAAAAATGGTCATTGCTCTTTGTTGGTTGATATATCTATCTATACCTTTAGAAATTCGATTAAATTTCATGATCCTGAAATCACGGAGTCTGTAGTGCTTATATCACAGGAGTTATCGTTATTTGTGTGCCAATGATTCAAAAATCACACAATTAGAAATGCAAGATGAATCAACACTAGATAATCTGAAAAGTACTATTCACAAAGACGCCAAAATTGATATGGTGACTATAATGCATGTAAGGAATAAAATGTCTTATCTGAAATTGTTATTGGTGCCAAAATGATTCAAAAATCACAACATTGGAAATGAGCCTATTTTGAGCAGTGATTATTGAATCATCTTACGTTTTTATTGGCTTTCTATCATTTGTTAGGGTACAAAATAGTATTAAATAGTATTAAAACCAGTTAATATGATTCAAAAATCACATTTTCGTTATTGGTGCGCTATTAAGTCTATAGTAAGCCTTAAATTAAGTGCACAATATGACAACATATATCCATTCTATGGTTCTTATTATGTGATTTTTGAATCCATGTCTAAGCTTATACCATATTGAAGGCCTTTGAGCGATAATTTTTGATCTGGGTGGTTAAATGATTCAAAAATCACACAAATCTGGCTACCAACTATGTAATTTTCTTTAAAGTATGACAATTGAATCATATGTAATGTTCAAGTTGTAATGACATTTTGAAAAGAAAGGTAATGAATCGATAATCACATTTCAAAAATTCAATTAAGTATTATACGTAACTGATTGATTCATTTGTCACAGTATGGAGACAAAATTATCATGGCTTGAGTAGTAAAAGTACTTGCCTAGTTTAATCAGTTTAAAATCAGTGTTTTGTGATTATTGATTCCACTATTACTCTAATAACGAACTTCTCCATGACCATAAACAAGTGCAGTGTCACAACAAATTACTGCAGATTTACTATGAATACCAACCTGATATAGAGCCAAAAAGTGATGTTGTTGTTGTGAAACCAGTATTTCTGGTACCCATAGGGGATTTGAAATCAACTTATAAATCAAATGTCATTCCTCAAAGTATCATAATCAAACCCCGGGCGAGTCCAAAATTAGAAACCTGAGTATTGATTCATATGAAATATGAATATCTCTTAAACGATAAAATTTCCTGAACCAGATCTGACTCGCTATGTCTGTTCAGACATGTTTGTCTGCCAGATCGTGGTACCTGAGTCCCTTCATTGCCGTGCATTGAAATCACACAATAACACACAAAGCTAGAATCACGGCAAATCGACATTCATCGCTTTTTCATCGGAGTACTAATGGACAGTGTTCAAATGGACAGTGTACATTCCCCTGATACAGCATAATTTCAATACATGCTCATTTATGTGATTTTTGACTCATTATGGCACTTTTAACCATCTAAATTCTCTAAATATTAGTTAGCATGATATAATTGACATTGATAGAGTTCATTGTTACAATCATTCCGTTGATATTCATATCACATTCATCATTCTAAAATACTTAGTCAGAATTAACCCTGTATGTGATAATTGCATCGTAACTCCACATTTAACCGGTGATTCTTTGCACTTTTAACACTCAGCTATCTCAAAAAGGTTCAATAATCACATTGAGAAGCAGGACACACTCACAGAATGTAAATTCATGATTAGAGGTGCAAGAAATGAATATTTTGTGATTTCTGGCTCATATCTGCACAATTAACAGATATAAAGAGATGAATGACTATTATGTGACATTTGAATCTTTTTGGACCACATTAAAATTTGGTTAACTTTCATAGCATACTCCTTGAGATACAAGTATTTTAAAATGCTTCACACAATTTTGGCAGTGAAAAATCAATCTCTAGTGCCACCTTTTTATGAACATGTCCAAGTCAGTACAAGCATAAATACGGCTGTAAAAGCATGTTTCCAAAATTGTATCAAATGTTTCCACCATCTCAACTACTATTTTCATTTTTGTTCATTTTCCATACATTCCATGAACCTGGGTAATGTTATTTGAGTTTTGATGGCTCTTAGGCCTAGTTTTTACCTACATCCATCTTAGAAAACCGAATTGAGGCTTCCCAGCACTTAAATACAGCCAATACTTCGATGTGCCCATGTTCCAAAAATCTGGATTCTCAGGAGGATTATTGTGCCAAAATTGGGACATTTTGGAACATTGGTAACATCGGTTCTAGACATGTAATGATTCTCAAACTTGGTTTGAGTGGTCCTAGGACTAATATAAACACTTTCCGACCCATTTTAAACCATTCTGAGCACTTTGAGAAGAATGTTCATTTTCGTTCATTTCTGGTCATTCCATGGGCAGTTTTATACGACTTTTTATGGTTCCTAGGCCTAGCTTACGGCTATATCCATCTTAGAAATCCGAACTGAGCCTTCCCAGCACTCAAATACGGCCAATACTGTGATGTGCCCATGTTCCAAATTTATGAATTCATCTACTGCATGGCGGCTGGCGCGAATTCGATTTTCGGTAAAAACCACATCAGTTTTCAAATTTGAGATATTTTTAGCGCGCGGCGCGCGCACTGCGTGTTAAATTTTAAATTTACGCCAGCTAGCAGGTGTCAGATTAACTGGTTATAATTGTGGGAAGTCCATCTATGTTTATTATTAATAATTTTTGGTTGACTATTTATTTTCCCCAGGAAACTTACTCACGTGCGAAAGACGAACTCTAAGAATTGGAGAATAACGGCAGTAGACAGCAGCTAACTTCCCCTGTACTCAACGACATTGAACAATAGACATGAAATGACTCGCTGACCCCCTACGGGGGGAATGCAACGTCAATTAATGTCAGTATTCCATAAAAACCCCAAACTGACATTGACATTAATTGACATTAATTGACATTAATTGACATTAATTGACATTAATTTGTCTTGAAATTTGAGATTATCATTATTCGATAAATATTCCAGATATTCACGTCTATGTAAGTTAGACCGGTCCAAAAAAACAAAATGTCCTTGAATAATTATGAGTATGTTCTTATCTGTTGATCCTTAGGTTTATAGACCACAAAAAAAATTTCAGCTTCCAACTCTTCCATCTTCGATCCCCACCGGCCACGCCCATATTTTATTGGTTTCTTATACAGGTAAAATATCTAGAATCGGCTTTTTTAGTATGAAGGAGTAATGTTAGCTGTTTAAGATTCGTTATTCAAATATAAATGTCATGAAGGAATTTCGTTTAATGTGGGTTTTAAGTTCTGATGATGTTGAGAACCACGCCCTTGGATGGCCACGCCTATTTAAGAAAATTAAATTTCGGAAAACCGTATTATTTTAGTTTAATTGTTTAATGATCTAAATTTTTTCACATTTCACATTTCCATATGTGATAGTAGTGAATAAATTGATGATATAAACGTTCTTAAGTGCTAAAAATATGGTAGAACTACATAATCTCTGGTCGAAAAATATCGTGTCAATTAATGTCAGTATTCCAAAATTTTGCAAAACTGACATTGACATTAATTGACATTAATTGACATTAATTGACGTTGCATTCCCCCCCCCCCCCCCCTACAAAGTACTTGTGCTCGGAGGCAGAATTTGGCATCGTTTGGGTCGAGAGATTTCCAAGGGTAATGATACAGTTAAACTGTATAAAAATACCTCTCTAAAACAACCTTCTCCTGGTCGGCCATGTCCCTCATCCTGCACTTGACCCCTGCAGAGGTCACAAGAACATCGGAGCACAAATGAGCGAGAAACGGGGAAGCCTTAGCTTCCGGGCCAAAATTTCCCGCGCTTTTCCAGCCCAAAAGAGAAATGCGCAAGAATGGACTCGGCTCCAATATCTATGAGCAGTTTCGGGGTAAAACTTAAAAATTAACAATTGAAATTTGATATAGTTGCGGAGAGAGAAACAAAAGAACTTAGTGTAATTGTGGGGGGGGGGGGGGGGGGGGGGGCCAACCATATTAAAGTATATTAAAGTATATCCCCGGGTCAAAATCGGAAAAAATCCTACATTTTAATATACTTTAATGTACCTACAATTACATACATACATACATGTTACATGGTAAGGTCTCCTCCTAGTCGTTGGAGTGGCCTGCATCACACACATCGCGTTGGCGGCGTAACATATGTCTCCACTGTACTCGGTTGGTAGCCAAAGCTTCTGTTGTGTCATTGTCGATGTTTTGAACACCTGTAAACTTAGCAGCATCTTCGAGTACGGAGGACTTCCAGTTCTTACGGGGTCTGCCCCTTGACCTCTTTCCATAATTTGGCTTCCAGTTCAACAGAAACCTCGTGTA